TGTGTCCGCACCCAGCAGGGGAGTGTGTCAGGTAGATAGCACAGTGGGGATAGGAGGGCCCCTCGGGTAGAAGGGCGGTAATTACAGAGCTCTTGGTATTGTTTTTATTACTATTTTTAAAAGGATTCATGAGAAAGATAAAAAATTTCAGATAATTCAGATATCTGTAAAGATGAAAGTAATAATCTAAAATCATGCAACCTAGAGATAAGCCCCAGTCTTTTTTCTCTCCCCTCAGGGCTTTCTAGGCAGAATGAGAGCACTTTTTCCTCTTGCAAACAATCCTATAATGGACAACCTTTTGTTACGTATAGGTCTATATAATAATTTTTAATGACCACATGGTGTCAATTTCATGGGTATACAATAATGCTGCTGAGGATGTTTAGCTTATTACCTTTTTTTTTTGCTACTACAAATAATGCATTGATGATATGCTTCTTCGTGCACAGTTGCATGTTTATCTGATACCTATTTTCGCCAAATTTTACTCACTTGCAGTGTATGAAAGTGTCTCTTTTGCCATACCCATGAGAACCCTGTGTGACCATTTTTTAAATCTTTGCTAATGGATCTCAGTGTTCTAATTTATATTTAATTTCTAGTGAGGTGAACTCTTTTCCATGTTTTGGCCATTTGTCATTCAGATGTGATGAACTGCCTGTTGGCAACCTTCTTACAGAGCATTTTTACAGGAGGGAATCCTAAATCCCTTTTCTTTCTCAGCCCTGTATGACACCTACTGTGTGCGTACAGAAGCAAGTGGCTCATATGTTAACAAACTTTTCCAGTTGTTGTAGGGCAGCTAATGGGAGCAGTTTTGCCCTTAGGGGACATTTGGCAATGTCTGGATACATTTTTGTCCCAACTCGGGAGGATGGTACATCTAGGAGACTAGGGGTGCTGCTAAACATCGTACAGTGCACAGGACAGTCCCCACAACACAGAATTATCCAGCTCCAAACATCAGCCGTGCCGAGGTAGCGAGGCCCTGTGCTCCAGTCATGTTTCCCCCTTAGGCTGAACAGAAGAGCTGTAGGAGCTGCGAGCTGACTTTATTATGTCCCTGTCCTTGCTTTCTGCGGTGCTGAAGTGCAGCTGATTAAATTACCCTGAAATCCCACAGGACCTGCTCCTTCCCCGCAGGTCTCCACCAGCCCAGTGCTGCCTCCGGGAACAATGTTATTACTCTGCCGTGGTGTCCTTTGCGCACTGACAGAACCCAAACGCAGACACTTCAGCTGCAGAATGACCTGGAGCTTTAGACACAGTGCCCTCCCCTCTGCAACAGATTTGCTCTCCCCGGTCCCCTACAGCAGCTCTTTGCACGGAGAGACTTTGAGATGGCAGATGCCACCACAGATTCCATTTGGAAAACTAGACATTCTATAAAAAGGTACCACGTAAGTAAATAATAATTTAAAAAAAAAAAAAAAAAAAGCCAGTGAGATTATGAGTTCTTCCTGCACTTGTGTGTTGGCACATTGCTGCCTAGGCCCTATTCTGTGTGGACTTTTCTTGTTCATGGTGTGAGTACAGTTTGGGTACCAGTATCCCTGTTTTCCCTCAGTCACGTGTCTGTGACGTTCCTCGTCCAGTCCGCTTTCACAGACATGAAGAGGAACAGGTAGCAACAGCCGTGTGCTGTGCGTGGGAGAACAGTGTGGGTCTGATTCGTGTCTGACATTAAAGCTGAACTGCTGGACTTCCTATTCAATGAAAGTACAACCTTTACTATTACAATAAAACAGCTTGCCAGTTACAACCAATGGGCGAAGCAATTATTCAGATATTTGAACAGGAGTCCAGTTTTATTCTTCCTTAAGACTGCATGTTCAGTGCACACAGAGGGACCAACACATCACTGCTAGAAATGCATTATTTATACGCTGGCACTTTGAACGTTTTTGATGGGTTAAAGAGTTTTTGCAGTCTTTGGGTTTTTTTAATTTGTAAATTTTTTATGCAGTGTACAGTAGGCATGCTCTGGTCAGCTTACATCCAGATGGTCACAGACTCTAAAGTGATAAATGAGAAATCACCACTGTCAGTGAAATTCAAGACTTCAGACTATGTTGGCTACACCTCACTGTTACCAAGGAGGTTGTGTGTGTGAGCGTAACAACAGCGGTGTGGAGTATGTGAGTAGCATCCCGATTGTACTGACAGGAGCACCGGCATTATTGACCTTGAGTAAATTATCCTCTTCTGGCTTTGGTTCCCTCATTGGTCAAATGAGGGTGATCGCTAAGGTACCTTGCAGATCCAAAATTCTGATTTTTGTGACTAGTCGAAGATCCCACCACATATTAAGGCAACACTGGAGCCCATGTCTCCCAGTGGCTGGTCCTTGGCTTTGAGTCTCACACGGTGAGTGCAGACCAGCCATCTGGAGCAGAGCCCACTTTCCTCAGACCAGGGCTTCGCCCTCTCTCTTGAAGATTAAAACCGAGGCTAGCCATTTTCTGCCTCTTCCTCCTCAAATTTTAAATAGACACCATATTATTCTCTGCTGGGACCGACTTATCATGTATTGCTGCTCTGCACCTGGGCAAACAGCTGCTGTTTTCCATCATAAAAACAGCTGCCTTTTGGCAGGGACGCACAGAACTGTGTTTGGTAGCTGTACCTTAATACAGTGCTAAATTATTTAGGTGTGCTTATCCTGAGATACCTAGATGTCTAGGAATGCCTAAGAAGGGCTTCTGCAGTCATCAGGAAGAGGTTTTCCTTTAATTTCTTTTATGATTACAAGGCAGAAACCTTAAAATGTAAGAAACTACATTTTAAAAATGTATGACATTATAAAGAAATTGTGCCAAATTAGATTCTTAGCCCTCACAGATAATCACTAATTAAAGTTTGGATATAACGTTTTGCCTACATTTTGTACGTAAACGTGTATTTTGCGTTAGTACATAAATTAAGGTAGAATTCTGCTGTGTAGTATTTCAGAACAGTTCCTGTTGAATTGATTTAATCCAATAATAGCTAATTAATTTACAGAGGAGGAAAGTGCACATTTTGCTTGGATCATCTAGCCTCTAAAATAAGTTGAGTAAAAAAATAATAAAAGTCAGGTTAAAGGTGAAAGCCCTTTTATAGTTGTAGACAATCTTGTCTTTGCATTTCCGCGTCTCTTTTCCTTGTCTGGTTTTTACCCAGTGGGGGGGAAAAAAAAAGGCTTTTGTTCTTCACCAGTAAATTATTGGCATTCCACCTGGGCCAGAGCTGACCTGCATGAAGCATGCTGAGGACAAAGCTGCTTATGCAGACTTCTGCTTTCCGGAGGGAGCTGAGAGAAAGATGGGGGGATCCCGCTGCAGATCTCCTGAGCATGCCGTTCACTTTAGTGAACCACACTAAATGCAGAAATTTAAAACATAAAAAAATCTTGAAAAGGTTGGAAAGGCCATGTGGACCGTCTTTCCTGACGGCTGGTACAGCGAAGGATGATCTGCGCTCAAGGCAGCCCAGGTTTCCCCCAGAGCCAGCTCTGCTCTGTCAAATGTCTGGCCTATATGATGGTTTTTGAGGGCACCAGGGACCTCGGTTTTTAAAGATGTTCCTAAGTGTTCCCTGGGACCCGCCCAAGGGCACTCTTTGGAGCTGGAATCTGCTGCATTCGCTCTCCACCAGAGGCTCAGCGGCCCGGAGTGCCCCCTCACAGGCTGA